CACTAATTCTATTATGAACTTTAATTCCCAACACTTTTAGTCCGTGTGATTAGCTGCTCATTTTAATATGACATTTGAGGGTTCAGAGGGTGTTGAAATGTGACAAAATTGAAGGTTCCCCCACCATTTCTCCTGTGATATCCACCACCATGTATTGTGTGGGGAATAGGGAGGCATGCACGTTTCTGCAGAAAAGGACAAAACGTTTAACATGATGACAGGAGCCAAGATGGAGACACACAGCAGTTTCTACATATAATTTTATTTTTCTGACCTCCACAGTACATACTGTTTAAATATCAGGTATTAGAAAACATATTATCAAAAATCCAGGGAAGCTGCAATTCTTTTTATATTTATAAAAATGTGTTCATAATGTTTTATAATTATAGTTTTTCTTTTTTGTTTAATGTCTATGTAATATATGACTAGATTTACATGTATGTCCACATCACATGTTTTGCAATGCTTTAGAATGTAGAATTAGCCAGCACATTGTGTCAGTATCACCACACTATACCAGCGTACTTTTATTCTGTACCCTGTGTTGACATGATCCAAAAATTGGACAAAACTGGACCATATGAGAACATGATTTTACATCCAACTTACTTTTAGTGATGAGTTGACTCTGGATATTTATCCCCAAGAAGGCTGTATATGGGTAAATATGAACTTACGAATTTCTTCATGCAGTCAGTCAATGGTCCCATTGGCTCAAAAAAGTTTTGAAAAAGTATGTATCAATGATTTTCCGTTAGGTTGTGTTTTATTTTTTTAAATACCTTTATTTCCAGTCTTTATTTTCTTGAATTAAAAAAAATGGAAGAAAATGAGTTTTCTATTTAAAATCTGACAGTCAGCCATCAGAAACATGCTGGTCATTTGTAACAAATACATAAAATTTGTTTTCATGGGAAATAAACAGGAAATGCCGTAGGAAAAAAAGGAAAACAGCGGTATTGTTTTAGCATTATATTTAGAAAGGTGCTCTTGGACAAGCAGACATTATAATGTGTTTACTTTGTGTGTTTATTAAATTCAATTCTACTAAAATAAGAACAAATGTTGAAATCTCACAAAAACAGTACACGTTGTGCTTTTTTAAAGTTGTTACGAATATGTTAATCCCTCCGCCCCCCTTTTTATACTAATATCCCTCTTTTCGTGGAGTTTTATATTGTTAGTGTGTCTGAGTGTATAACAGAGCTCCACAGCAATAATACTCCCAGTAATGTCTACAAAAAATGTGTTTAGAAATCATTCTCTGTAAAGATACATTGTTTCTGCTCTAAATTACATTATAGTTGCTTAAATTTTTACTAGTAAGTCACTTACAATTACTCAGAATAACCTGCCCCTAGCCACACCCACACTCACACCCCTAAAATTAAAGTTTCCCTCTTTGTTCATTTGATATTTTGGGAGGAATCAAATAGACAAGAGTTTGACACAAACAAAATACAAACCCAATAATATACAGAACAATTACAAAAATATACCCAAGTATACTCAATATAGTTTTGGTGTTGCTATTTATATATTTTGTCGAAGCACCATTACACTCGTTATTGTAAAAAAAACAAAAAAAAGATGGAACTGGGTTCAGGGATTTGTGGTCCTTACCTACTGTCAGAGCGGGTGTTTTAAATTTTGCAAATGAGCATTCAGGCCAGGGGTCAGAAATCTAGGGGGCAATATAACAGGGGAAACATCAGAAAATATGTGCCGGTCTGCGTTTGTAAGAGGTTCAATGTTCACTGGTACAGGACACTGAACTTCAAGCATTGCGGGATTGTCAAAGCAACACAAAAGTCATATATATCACCTGGTATCATTATATGAAGGGGAATTGAGCTTGTGTCTTACCAATGAATGCAAAGAATGTTGCACAATTGGTAGTAGAGTTGTAACATTGTGCTCTGCATCAAAAAGGCAGCCAAGTGGCTTAGCAAATAGTTTTCAGTCTATATTTGAATCAAACCAATTGTATAAACCTGCAATCATAATATATACTAACATATTCTTCACAGAAAAGTCCCATGCATGAATATTAATCCTTTATAAGCTGAAGAGAAAAGGAGCAGGAGCGATGTGCCTCTCTTCAATGCACCTACTTGTAGTTTCAGCATTGGCATATAATGTAGTGATATGTGAATGAGCATGAAAAGATTGAGCAACCAAGGAGATACCTCTGCTGCTGGGTGACTACGTTCTTAGCCATCGTCCTTACTGTGTACCCATGTTTGGAGATCCTGTGTTCTGAATTATAGGGTTTCTGCCTTTCTCTTTCTCTCAAGAACTGCAGGACAATGAGGACATCATCATAAAACCAGCAGACAAGGGTGGGAACATAGTGGTACCCAATAAGTCACATTACATCCAGGTTGGCAAGAACATACTAAGGGACAACAAAACTTATTAAGTTTTAACAAGAGATCCACCATCCCAATGCCTAAGGGAATTTAAGGCATTTCTAGACAAGGTCTTTGATGATAAGGTCATCACTAAAGACGAGTATGCCTTTATGAACATTAGGTGTCCGACAGTATCCACCTTCCCTGGCTTTCTAAAATCAAGAACTACCCAACCCTTACAGGAATACCAATTGTGTTCGGTTCAAATATACACATAAAACTAGTGTATATGTGGATAATTGAGGGGGTTTGTGGTCTCTTGAAGTACCCGAGGATTCAATCCTCTGCAGCCTGAATGTTAAAGCCTCTATTCCTCATGAGCTGGATGTGAAGGATGTGTAAACCTTTCTAGATTCAAGATTTTTCTCTGGTCCATCTTCTTTTGGAAGCGATATATTGATGATGTCCTTGTTGTCTGAAATGATACAAGGGGCATTTTCCTTTAGTTCATTCAATACTTTAACAACAACGACCTGACTCTATGGTTTACTAGGGAAGTGAGTAACCTTTTGGACTATGCGTTATCCATAAACGACTCACTGAGTACATATACAACCCTTTTTCGTAAGCCAACAGCAACTAACACCATGCTTAAGTAGGAGAGTCACAATCAACTCCCACTAAAAAGGGCAATCTCAGTGGGACAGTATCTCAGGATCAAGAGAATTGCAGAAGATTTTCATACCAAGGTGGCAAAACTGAGACAGAGATTTAAAGAGAGGGGTTACCCAAACTGCTGCTTAAAAAGAGCGTACAAAAGGACATTTGAATGTGACAGAGGAGTTCCAAGCACTACAAGATGTACAACCAACTTTACTTCAGGCAGGGACTAGTCAAAGAAAATACTAGGTGGATTCTTGACTCTCTTGACTCTCTTGACTCGTAAGGAAGCTATTTCTCCATGGGTGTCACTGATAGTTAGAAAGGGTAAAAATCTAAAAGACCTGTTCATTCCAAGCCACTTTTCCAATCAAAGCAAGCACTTGGCTCTCACAGGCACATATCCGTTTGAACACTGTGTTGCCTGCAAGTTCTCAAAGGACTCCAAAATAATTTGGGACAGTAGTGGCCTCTTCAGTTTCAATGTCAAACAGTTTTTTAACTGTAGAACAGTAGGGGTGGTCTACCTTATAACTTGCTCATGTGGGATCAAATACACAGGCAAGATGTTCCCCCCTTTTAAAAACCATATAATGGAGCATGTTCACTCTGTTTCCTTACACAGGGACATCCCTGTTGATCGTCATCTTAAAGTCTACCATCAAGATTCATTAGGAGGCCTTGGGTTTGTAGAGATTAAGAGAGTTTCCCTGGGTCAAAGGAGAGAAGATTTGGGTCTGATCCCTAAACATGTAAGAGTGTACTGTGGATATATAAATGTAACACCGCGCAAATGGGTCTGATAGAAGGATACACTTTTACTCCTTTTACTCTCCATTGTATCTGAATTTACTTAAATACTAATTAAATATTTTGATTTTTTTGTAAAGATTTTGGGGATATTACTAGAAGTTTCCTAATTGTTTTGGGGGTTTTTTGCCTTTTTTTTAATCAGATACATGGAGGTAAAAAAACATTGAACATGATGGACTTGTATCACCCTATAGTATTCTATAACCATATTAACGTCTGTTACATTATAATGTAGGTATCGTTGCAAAGAGGAGCTGCCAGTATATTTAATGCTCAGTCAGATCTCATACTGCAGTACATATACAGCTAATACGCTTCTTCACATGCAAGAGGGTATTTAATAGGCTTAAATATTTCTTTCTTTACAAAACTGCAATTTGTCCAAATTTTGGCCGATCGTTTGGTAATTCGAATTTCCAAACTCTGAGCCAAAATGTAGCCAAATCAGAAATAATACACAACACACAATGGCTGAACATGTTAGATTTGATAAAATAGTCTGAATTCTGCTTTTTGCACACACACAAAAAAAGAGTTGATTGATAGCTAGGGACAGTTACTATAAGTGTACCGCAAAATATATACACATATTTATATTATGTATATATTTAGCAGTACATTGATCAGCCTTTGTTAACTAAATTCGGCCGAGCCATACCTCCACATAAGTGAAATTCGTCCATTCCGAAATTTGTTTTATTTTTGGCAGAAGTAATTTTCCGCTGTGCACAAGTCTAGTGCATCAAGTAAATGTTCAGTCTGAAATTTTCAAATAAGTAATATCGTTAAGCAACCATACATTATTAAAGATCACCTGAAATGCCACTCAAGAGGGGTGGTATATATATATGTTAAAATGCCCGTGTAACCTGCTGTATGTAGGCAGAACTATTAGACAGTTAAAAGTTAGAATTGCCGAACATGTTAGGAACATTAAAAAAGAGGTGGAAACACACAGCGTTTCTCTACATTTTTAACAAATGCATATTTAGAACCCTGAAAGTCTACTTTTTTGTAGACATGTGCAATTTGTTTCGTTCCGAATGCAAATTTGGACAAATTTTAGAAATTCGGATATTCGGATGCTTCCGAAGTGCCGAATTCCGGAAGATCTAAAGTGTTTCAGATTTCTGAAAAGTGGCAAAACAGGAGAGGGTTGGGGCTAGGGGTTAGGGTAGGGTTTGGGGTAGGGTTAGTGGTTGGGATAGGGTTGGGGTAGGGTTAGGGTTAGTGGTTGAAATAGGGTTAGGGGTAGGGTTAGGGTAGGGGTAGGGTTAGGGTAGGGTAACCCTATTCCTAACCCTACTCATAACCGTACCAATAACCCTATGCTAACCCTAACCTTACCCCTAACCCTACCATAACCCTACTCCTATCCTTAACCCTGCTCCTAACTCGACCCTTCCCCTTACCCTACCACTAGCTCTAACCCTACCATAACCCTTAACCCTACCCTATTTTTCCCATGCGCATCCCTACTTTTCTGTGCTATCAAAGAGGGGAAAAAAGATTGTAGAGGAGGAAACAATGTGAAAAAAATTGGGCACAGAGGAGATGAAATTTATATTTAATTTTAAAACTTTGATTTCTTATGGTTTAAATGCCAATTTTGAGGTTTGCCACTTTATAAAATAGTAAAAGTACTTTTAAGTGAAGACAATACTGCTCCCAAAAGTTCAACCAACAACTTCTTACTTATTTACATCATTCCCACTGCCTAGAACTAAATCCCCACGTCCCAATGCACAATATATCTCAATTACATTTCTATATACAATAAAGTTAGTTTACATGTCATCACCCATATGCCACTATAGAGGATGTTCCCCCTATACATTATTAATGTAAATATGTACTAGTATATATTTTATGAATTACTCTTTTAAAATAGATAATGTTCTCTTCCTCTTTTTTATATTGTGTATTGCTCTCTTAATGTAGTTGTTCTGGTGTCTAAAGCATGTCCCTGCAGGGTTTTCAATGTAAACACTGTATTTACATTAAAAAGCCTGAAGGGACATGCTATAGACACCAGAACAACTACATTAAGCTGTACTATAGTGCGTTCTGCTGTGCATGAGAAATTGACTTCAGGTGCTTTCTCATTGGATCAAGATTGATGATCTGAGCCATCAAAGTGTGGTCTGTCATGGCAGAACTGGTGGGTACAAGGAGAAAAGATAAATTTAAATGAGTGCCCTCAGTGTGATTATTGCCTAGTGACGAGGGAGATCCCTAAAGAAGTTCTGCTGATGTCTAGGGGTTCTTGTGTTTCAGGTCATCTTGGCAAGAGGGGCTCTGCTACAACCCTATGGTGGTGGGTGGGCAGAAAGGGGTAAGAGAAGGGATGCCACGCACCAGCGGACCTTTTCCATGTCCTAATTAGTGATGGGAAAGAGGAGGAGTGGTGAAGAGGACGAGGCATGGAGGGGAGAGAGAGGTGGTTGAGTGGCGTTGGTGTCGCTATTGGAATCTGTGATGGTTGTGATTTTAGTTTCATTTTTAAATGAAAAAAACAAGGCACAGTAAATACCAGTGATACGTTAATATATAGAACAAAACAAGCATTAAATAGTTTTAAGCTTGGAGTAACCCTTTTATAAAGGCACCAAAAACATCAACAACTGCCTTATTAATATTTATTACTTATTACTATTTATTCAGGCTCAGTTATCCAACAAAGCCTTTAATTGTAATATAAATTACTGCTGCTTCTAAACCTGGTATTTAAAGCATAGTATGTAAGTAAGTGAGTACAAGCATACCGAATTGTTTCACCTAATGTTTTTTTTTAAATACTTCTATGCAATTCAGCTGCATTTAAATGATTTATATACCAATTTTTAATCCAATTAGGAAAAGCTAAATTTATATATTTCACTGTAGCATTCTAAGCAATGAATCTTTTCATGGTCCAAGGATTTATGAATTTGAACTAAAGTTAGATGTTATTTTATTTCATTTGTGCTTGTGGGTGTACGCATGTGTGTGTGTGTTTAATACATTGTGTATAATTTAACATATTGTTAAAAATATGTATTTAAAATTAATATTACAATTTAGTTCATGTTTAGTGACTGCCTCACCTTTACTGGCTTTTCTGTGGTAAATGGTTCTTCTATATATTTCATATAAATCATTTTTTTGCTGCACTGTAAGTATACTGTAGACACAAGCATATTTGGCAACATATTTGATTTTCAACAGTCCTGTGCCTTTTTAAATGTGTGATGAGTGCTAGCTACGAATAGTTAAGACTATAAACACAATCTAGTGCATAAATTAAATAAACATAATACATATCAAAATGTTTACATTATTTTGTTACCAGTATGTATTAAATATCATGTAACCATCAGTTGTAATTATTTCTGAAATGCACAGTAAGCTCAGTCTCAGCATATATTCATGAAATAATAATTTTTCCTAACTATATATAATAAATGATATAGCGGTGTAACTGATAAAACATGATATATGTAATATGTTTTGAAATATACGTTAAATCTCACTGAACCGGTCTTTTCTCTTTACCCTGCAATGTAAGACATTAGGTTTTTGAGTAACGGCAATGTTCACCTTAAAGGACCACTATAGTGCCAGGAAAACATACTCGTTTTCCTGGCACTATAGTGCCCTGAGGGTGCCCCCACCCTCAAGGTCCCCCTCCTGCTGGGCTCTGGGGAGAGGAAGGGGTTAAAATCTTACCTTTCTCCAGAGCCGGGCAGGGAGCTCTCCTCCTCCTCTCCTCCTCCATAGCGACGTCATCGGCTAAATGCGCATGAGAAGTGAGAAGCACGCAGTGAGAAGCACGCAAGCGCCTCTAGCGACTCTCAAGAGACAGCCATTGGAGGCTGGATTAACCATATTATAAACATAGCAGTTTCTCTGAAACTGCCAAGTTTATAAGAAAAAAGGGTTAACCCTAGAGGGACCAGGCACCCAGACCACCTCATTAAGCTGAAGTGGTCTGGGTGCCTATAGTGGTCCTTTAAGGGATAAGACTGCCTCTAGTCACAGTCTACCAGACAGCCACTAGAGGCACTTCCTGGCGTTGCATTGAGTTTAACTCCATGAAACGATCCTGGATATCCTCACGCTTTGCATGAGGACGGCCAGCATGTTGAGAATCTGCATAGGAAAGCATGAAGGTAATGCTTTCCTATTGGGAAGGCCTAATGCTTGCTCACCACCCAAATGCGCATTAGGTTTCCCCCAACGACTGATGTCGGTGGAGGTGCATGACCAAGCATTGTGAGGCATCGTTGCTTTTTTTTTGGGGCCCAGAGCAGAGGACACTTTAGTGTTGGGAACACAGTTTTGGATTCCTGACACTATAGTTTTCATTTAACTAATAAATCTGGATGTAAATGTCTCTTTAGTTTAGTATAGTGTGTCGTATGTTGTTGTACGTTGTTTAACTTCTGTACTGGATTCGATTTCTGTTTTTATTTCACTGTAATGAATAGACTTTATCCCTGAACTGTCAAGAGAAAATGCTAACCACGTTAGGGGTAAAGACTCGAACATGAAAGGACTATTTATCTTCTGATTTTGTGTTGATGGTCTGTTGGAAGTTGATGTAACCCTCAAGAAATTTTTTTCTTCTTCTTTTTTTAAAATATTAACATTTATGAAACTGTATACTGAACACAACTTAGGATTCCGCAACCTCTGTCTTCCACAAACAAGATTGTAAAAGCTAAACAGATGCCATTGTCGGTGATGTTCTACTGCTTTGGTTTTACAATGAAAGTGAAAAAATATGTTCTGCTTAACAGTGGTGGCAGATTGTCAAGCTTAGACGATCGAGTTCTATCAAAGTCTTCTACATGTTTTCTTTCTACAGACCAGAGTGCAAAATCTCAATGGTCAGACAAAGGTTCAGTCCATACCAAAAATTCCTATAATAAGACACCACCCCATGTAAAATAAATTAAGTTGTTTAACTTGCGACTTTTACAAAAATATTAAATTGTAAATTATATTGTAAATTGTATTTTTTTTCACCATTGGCTTTATTGTCTGCTCTTTTGAAAGCTCCATCACACCATCCAATTTCTATTACCACTACAGTAGCAGAACTGCATGAAGACTACATGGGGGCGTCATAAAATCTGGTTGTGGCACATTTATTTTCCGCTTTTAAAATAAAGCATGAATTAATTGCCTGACTGTTTTTTTTAGCTTGGCTATTTTTGGTCTGTTTGTTGCATCTTCTATGCTAGAAATCTTTGCTAATTTTGGAATATGAAATAGAGACAACATATTGATAATGATCATCTAAAACATGATACAAACAAACTATCCGATGAGACATACAGAACCATAAACAACTCATTAGTTTATCTTCGGAGAAAAGACATTGACTAAAGAAAAGGAACTTTTTATTTGGGTGGTAGAACTGGATTTGCCTCTGTCATGAGTATCAAGTGTTGAATAGTGAAACCTTTGTGAAAAACCATTTAAAGGACCACTATAGGCACCCAGACCACTTCAGCTTAATGAAGTGGTCTGGGTGCCAGGTCCATCTAGGGTTTTTATCAGTAAAACGATTTCTCATTTGTTTGTTTAATACCTTTTGTTGATACACAGGGCTGTCTTTAAGGAGGGGCAAATGGGGCAGCTGCCCTGGGCCCAGTTACTCATGGGGGGCCCAAAGCAGCTGCCCCGTGGGCCCCGTCGCCTGCAATAAAATAAAAAAACAATAAAAAAATATTTCCCTACCTAATGGGCCCGCGGTGCTAGTATTGCGGCTGCACTGGGGACCGCACACTAAGGGGGCCCACCGGGTGGCCCATACCTTTAGGGCCACCCAGTGAGCAAGTTCCAGCAGGGGTCTGGTCGGCGCTGTGGCCCTTTAACAGCGCGACCGGGTCCTTGCTTAACGGCTGTATGGGAGGAAGTGACGTCCGCGAATCACTTCCTCCCACCTCAAAGACATCGGGCCGCCCGGGAGACTGCTGAGCCAGCATCCAGTGAGGAGGGTGAGCAAGAAGAGCCAGACCCCCAACTCCCAACTACCCCAGCCAGCACACTGGACCCCAGGGAAGGAAGCCTCTTTCAAAGGTAGGAAACTGAAGAGTGTCTGTCTGTGTGTGCGTCAGTATGTATGTATGTCTGTGTGAGTGTCAGTATGTATGTGTCAGTCAGTATATGTCTGTGTGTCAGTTTGTATGTCTGTGTGTGTGTCAGTATGTATGTACATGTGTGTGTCAGTTTGTATGTCTGTCTGTGTGTCAGTTTGTATGTATGTGTGTGTGTCAGTATGTATGTATGTCTTTGTGTGTCAGTATGTATGTATGTCTGTGTGTGTGTCAGTATGTATGTGTCAGTCAGTATATGTTTGTGTGTCAGTTTGTATGTCTGTGTGTCAGTTTGTATGTCTATGTGTGTGTCAGTATGTATGTCTGTGTGTATGTCAGTATGTCTGTGTGTGTCAGTTTGTGTGTCTGTATGTATGTCAGTGTGCCAGTCAGTATGTCTGTCACAGTGTCAG